ATTATTATTAAGACCCCTGGTCTAGAATAAAACTGACAAGAAACAGAATTCCATTTTTTTTTTTTTTTTTGGTCTTTTATTAAGTTTTTACAGCAAGTCATTATTAACCGCTAGCACTGGTCCTTTGCTTTCTTAACTGCATTCTGCTCAACCTTCATGACATTTTCTATAAGTCCTTCTAGCTTCTTTCTGCTGACATGTTCTATAGAAATCAGAATCTAATTTACAAGGCAGATAGTATTACCTGATATTAATATTACCTATATGTTGAATGATGCAGGTAAAAGTAAAATAAAAGTTGGTTTTCAGAACAGGACTTACACAAAGCACATTTTAATTCAGTAAATTGAAATGCCATTTCAATACAAAGGTTAGGTGGGAACAAAGCATTAGAGGTTTTATAATATTTAGAAAAAAAAATACAAAAACCAATCTTTCATTTGGACCAATACTTGCATAGAACACTGCCGTCTGGAGAGGAACGTTGTATTTACACCCCGGAACCCATCCAGTAAATTTGTACTGTCTTTAAAATAGAGCAACAATATTCATGATTAGACAATTTGAAATTATGTAGATTAGTTGCAGATCTGCAGTTTTCTGACTTTTAATATTTTACCTCACGGGTAGCATTTTTTGTAATATTTAAAACTTTTCATGACCAACTTTTTTTCAAGTTTTCTATTGGACTATACTTCTGATTAAGATATTTAGAGCTTTTTTTATACTAATTTCAAGCTTAGGTCTTGTTGTGCATAATCAACATCAGCAAAGTTTGCAGTGTGTGTCCTTAAAAAGAAATATGAGGAAAGGAGACTTGAAGACAAAAGAGAATTGACCACACCTAAAGCATATCTATGCTAGATAGACAGAACCTGAAAGTACAAATCTCCAAGATAAGGACTTAATTGGAGAAAATAACATAAGCATATTGGGATAGGAGTTTTGGTCTATGTAACTGTGACAATGTGTTTCAAAATGTTGTATTGGATCTTAAAGATGAAAAAAAGGGAAGACTTCAAGTAAACAAAATTAAAATCTTAAGCAAAATAATATTTTGGGACTGTTAAACTACCCTTTACTATGACAATTATAAAACCTGGATGTATTTCTTTTATTTTCTTCAAGTACAAGTGAAACCATTTACATCACAGAATACAGGAAAAAATACGCTGAAAAAAACAACTAGAGAAAATGAAGCATTAAGCTGTTATCATCTACTGAGTAAGGTATGAAGTGAAATTCAAAAACACTCCCGACAAAATTGGAAAAAAAAACATCATAGTCTTCAGCAGTATTTATTCTCAAATTTAGATAAAGAATATATAAATGTTGTGGATGTTTTCCTCTAAACTAACTTAACTAACATATTATAATAGTAAGGAGTGCAGAAAGCGCTCTCACTGCCACTCCATATGTTTTACAGTAGAAGCAAAAGCAGCATCTGAAAAGTTTTGGTCAAGCACAAGTTAAAAAAAAAAAGGTGTACAACTAAAAATGTAAAACTATTCCTTATGTTTGGGGTAACAATTACCCCAAATTAAGCAGCCAGGAAATTTTAAACACTGAATAATGGACAGTTATTGTTGGTTTGTATCAAAACATAATACACAGTTTACCAAACTTTTGAAATCATTTGGGGAGATTATATACAGTGCCAGCTACATTCATTGATACCCCTGATAGGGATCAGTAAGAAAAAAAAAATGGAAATAATTTTTTGAAGCCTTTTTTTAATGCAGTCAAATTGAAAAAAAATGTATTCCAAGTATTTTTATTCAAATCTCACATTACTATTCAACAAAATCGCCAATAATTATCCTCCCCTCTGTTAACACCTGCACATTGTGCTAATAGAGAAATTTACGGCCAACCTTTAATGAAATTAGCGCGTACAGAGCAATCTCAGAACACCGGTCCCCTTTCTTTAATATGCCAGCTCACTCTATGTCTTCTAAAGGATTTAGGGGTTGGAATTAGGATGGCAAATTTCTGCAGATCAACAATTTCTGTGTTGGAGAAAAAAAGGTCAATATCAGAAGCAGACTGCATTGAGTACAAGATTACAACTAGAGGTATCAAAAGTATTAATGTTAATTACTCAAATAGAAGTATAAATCCTGTTTAACCCTTTAAAAGCAGTTAGAGTATAAACTTAAGCTTTTTACTCAAGTAAAAGTACTTAAATATAAAAGTAAAAGTAATGCAGGAAAAAAAAATTAAAGAAAGAAAGCACTAAACCTTATACTACACTTCTCTATTAAAGGAAAAATTTTCTACAATTTTGAATAACTTCCTTATACTTTATTTTCTTAGCTTTATAACCAATAGTAACAGTGTCAAAGGTGACTTTGTATCTTCCTGAAAAGCTACTTATTTTGGTATGTGGCGAACAACAAGTTAGTGCAGTACTGAGTCCAACCACAAAGAAATTCATTGTCTGGATGAAATAAATTAGTTTAGTGGTTTTTATTTTTTTCAAATACAAACAGGCTGTAAGGAAAATGAGCTTAAAGGAAACAGTCTATTTAGAAAAAAAAGGATGGATGCAAGGAGCAGAAAGTGGAGATAATTGCAAAAAAAAAAATGTAAGAAGTAAAAAGTTGTCTAAAAAATAATTACCAGTACAGTATAGCAAGCCAAAATTTCTACTTAAGTAACATAACGTATTTGTACTTTGCTACTTGACACCTCTAATTACATGTATAAGTATTCATCAGGTGTGGCCTGACAAGTTTCTATGGTTTTCATACATAAATGTGGAGTTGTGCCAAGTAGGTGTCTCTTTACTTTGCTGCTAGCAGAAACATTATGCAGCATCCAGCTGTTAAGAGACAATAACCACAAGATTTTTTTTTTTACATTAAAGTTGTATTTCAAAGTCTGTGACATCAAGGTGCAGTTGGAGTGCAAAACAGTCCCATAGCATCACAGTTCCTCTGCTGGCAGGAGCTGCTTTTTCTTTTTGAAAACTCCCTGGAAGGTTTAATCTTATTTCATGTTTACATGTGTGCTAGCAGGACAGAAAATTATTTTTTCTTTCATATATTAATATCCCTACTGGCTGTAATGTAGCCAGCTTCTAATAGTCGTTCTGGAGATGCAGATGCCCTAATTTTGCATCTCTATTACAATCCTGAGAAACTGTTCTTTCATTACATTTCACCTGTGACTGAATGCACCTGTAGGGTAAAGAATATCAAGTCCTCGATCAGCCTCTATTACAAGAGGATATGGAAAGTAATAGATCACTAAATAAAATTTAATAGTCTATCTGGTCAATTATCAAAATTGTAAATGAATTTAAATGCTTCAGTTAGACTTTTAACGTTACCACCAATTGTGCCACTGTTGATTTAGTAAAAAACAACTAATCCTACCCGAACATGTGCTCAGATAAGATGCTCCAGTGTAGATTCATTAGTTTTGTTTTTACAGATCTCTATAACTGGGTGCCAATGATTGTGATTTGTAAAGTAAAAACCATTGTGAAAACGTTCAAGTTGAACAACAATTGCACTACTAATTTCAATGATCTTTACATCTTTTTGACCTTATGGGTTAAAAAAAAACCCAAAAAACTTTCACCTGAAAGATCCAATAACCATTAAAAAAAAAACATAATTATTGTACAAACTTTTTTTCTGTCTTTTACTTTGGGGGAAAATAAAATAAAACAAACTAATAGATTTTCATAAACTTTGGTTTTTTTTGTTTCCTCTGCTCTGTACACGTGCCACAAGGCTGTATTCACTGCCACTGTATTAGAGCTGAAAATTAACGTTTTCGGTCAAACAAGCTGTTTACAAAGATTAACCTGCAGCAAGGGTTGCCTAAACATCTTGGTGCTACTTGCACAATCATTCAACCACTGCCATCAGTTCAGCAGAAACATGAGTCATCGCTATTTTACATTCTTTTTATACCATAAAAAAAAAAAAAAACTTTTCCTTTCCAAATAAGTTTGAATCCCTTTGTTTTAAGGTAAAGTAGAACTAAAGCTGAAATGTTTTGACTATGAGAGGAATATCAGCCTTCAGCCTCTCAGGTACCACATCCTTCTTTGAGGCACAAGTCTAGAATACAAGCAAGGTTTTAGCAGGGGACTGACGTAATCCAGGCAAAGAAAACACACTTGTGTGCACCAGTAACTTTATCTAAGCTTTCAAAGCGCAACATGTGTCACACAGCGAAAAATGAATGTCAGGTTTTTAATATTCAAAGGTCA